GATTGTCCCGGGGATCCAGGCCGGCCGAGGCACTCCCCCTGCGGCGCCAAGCTCTGCGTGCCCCACAGGCCCGACCCCGGGACGTCCCCGCTCCGGTCTCTGCAGCTCCCTTAAATAAATTCAATCCCTTCGTATTTCGTGGCCCCGATGCGGGTCTCTGGCAGCAGGACACGCCCGTCCAGTGTGAAGGCCATGATGTAAGTGGCCACCTTGCCATCGTCCTCCTCGGACTTCAAGGCCACAATGACCTGGTCGTCTGTGTCCGGGACGAATTTGAAGGAGGAGAAGCCGTGGGTGGGGACGGCAGCCCCCACGTGGCTGACTGCGATGTTGCTGAAGTCCGGCGTGGCCCGCAGCAGCAGGTTGGTGCCCCGGTGCTCGTCGGCCTTCTCGTCGTAGCGCTCGTGGCTGGCCCGGCGTGGCAGGAAGAACCAGCGCTGCAGCCTCTCGCTCCAGGCGGCCGATTCGTGGATCAGGTACCCTGGGTGGGTGGGGCTGGGGGGAGAGTGACCCTGAGGAGCTGTGGCCTTGCCCGCCGGCCGTGGCCAGTCTCCTCTCCGTGCTCACCTGGGTACTGACCAGCCTTCCTTCCCACTACTTTATGTCCATGTGTGGAACGAATTTTGCTTTGTGCACCACCATGGAGCCATGCAACAAGTCACCTCCACACTGAGGTGCACAAACTTCATTCTGCACATGGCCGATTACGCGGGGGTGGAGCCGAGGGGCTGGGCGTGAGGTGTTGGGGGCAGGAGGGGTTCCAGGATGGGCTGGGATGTGGGCTCTCCCAGGGAGCGAGGGTGGCAGAGCGGGCTGAAAGGAACGGCAGTGTGCAGAGCTGCCTCCCCCCAGGAATGGCCCAGAACATAGGGGCTTTCCAGACGGGGGTCCCAGGCTGCAGCCTCTAGAGCTCCTCCCTCAATCTGGCCTGCTGCCCTGGCTGGCGGAGAGAGGTGCCCTCTGGCCCCAGCAGGGAGCTGCCGTGGCTGGGGGAGGAGGCTGTGGCAGCTCCAAGCCCGGCGGCTTATAGGGACCCTGGGGTGGGGCTGAGGCTCCCTTCCCCAGGGCAGGGGAGCCGG